ACTAATACAGTCAAATGTAGAAAGAGGTACAAGCAAGCAACAAAAAGGGAGAAGGCAGGGAGGTTAACCAGAAAGACATCCGGTTGGCTACCCTACAGAAAGAAGTACAAATATCCTAAGAACCCAAGTACAAATATCCTAAGAACCCATGGTTATCTTAGCGACTGCTAAAAAGTATGCGTAAAAAAGATAACCTGTACAGAAAAGTAAAAAAACAACCATTTAACACTGCTTTAGCTTCACGCTATAAAAGATACTCGAATGTTCTTTCGTGTCTCTTGAAAAATGCCAAGAAAAAATATTATGATGACCAAATATCTAGTGAAAACAACTCTAAAAGACAATGGCAGCTCCTAAACGATTTTCTAAATCGATCAATACATAGTTCACCTTTGCAGAAAGTCATATATAAAGGCGTTACACATGTTAACCGTGAAAGTGTTGCTGATGCTTTCGGTAAATATTTTTTCGAAATTTTTAGTGAAAAATATAGCAGTTCTTGTTGCAATCTACAACGTTCTAATCATTCTTTTTTTCTTTTCCCCGTGAGCCCTGATGATGTTTCTACAGCAATCAAAAGTCTCAAAGAAACCGGCCCTGGTATAGATAAAATCTCAGCACGACACTTAGAACTTGCAGTAGACATTATTTCTGAACCACTTTCTATAATTATAAACCTTACGTTCAAGCATGGCAGTTTCCCTACTTCTCTAAAAATAGCCATGTCCTTCCGATCTTAGAAAGGGCGACAAGCAATCTATTTCTAACTATCGCCCCATCTGTATTCTTTCTTCCCTGAGTAAAGTCATCGAAAAACTGTTAATAACTTTGCTAAACAAATACCTTAATAAATTTATTGTACTGAAGCCCTGTCAATTCGGCTTTCGCGCTAGAAGTTCTACTAACCTTGCTATTCTTTCGCTATCAGACTTCATCAAACCCTCCATAGACACAGGATTTGTAGTAGGGTCAGTTTTCTTAGACTTCACAAAGGAATTCGATACCAATAATCATGTCATATCATCCAAGAAACTCGAATCATACGGTATTACAGGTCCATCACTCAAATTTTTAAACAGTTACCTGCTTAACAGAAAGCATACTGTTCACATATCGGGCTCATTTTCTTCAACAAAAACAATAAATCAAGGGGTTCCTCAAGGGTCATTACTGGGTCCGTTACTTTTTTTACTTTACATTAATGACCTTCCTGACATTATACACATGACTCACTGCGTTTTATATGCTGATGATACTACCATTTTCATTGCTGATAGATGTATTGACAACGTCACTAATAAATTAAATGCTGTACTTTGTAGCGTGTCAAAATGGTGCCAGAAAAATTTCTTAATTATTAATCCAAATAAATCTAAGTTTATGGTTTTTAGATCAGCTCAACGCAAGTTAACTTCCTCACCACAGCTCACAGTTGACTCTCATGTGATTAATATCAGCGCCAGTGTATCTTTTCTTGGCGTTCACCTCGACGCTAACCTTAACTTCACTCTCCATATTGCTCACATTAGAAAAACGGCAGCATTCGGCATTCGCGCATTACTCAAAGCTCGCTCATATTGTTCTCATAAAGCACTCCTTTCACTTTACTTCACATTCATTCATTCTCATATCACTTATGGCATCGCATCTTGGGGGAATACTTACCAGTGTCATGTTTGATCCGTACAACATTTACAAAATCGAGCTATTCGCGCTATTTTTAACTGTTCTCGAGACAGTAGCGCCGCTTCCCTTCTTGAATGCAATAAAATCTTAACTGTTAGCTATCTATTCAGGTTTAATCTAATTATGTTTCTGCATAAACAAATAGGAAATCAACTTTCTGCTAATTTCATTGATTCTAAGATGTTAGTTATTACTAACACAACCAGGTTTGCGGCTAATAATAACTTTTTACTTCGAAAGGTTCGTACTAACTATGGTAAATCATCTTCTCTCTTCTGTACCATCCCCATATGGAATAATTTGCCCACTTCGCTAAAATGCAAACTTTCTTTATTTTCATTTAAAAACTCATTAAAAAAGTACCTGTTAAATAGTTGATCTATCTTCTTTGTGTTGTTTTATGCTGTATTATTCGTTTTTTTTATTCCATGCCTTTTTGTTTTTATTCTGCTTTATATATTGTCACGTTATCACGTGACAATATTTTTGTTTCCTCGATTCTAACAGCTGCTTGGGCTTTTATTATTTGTAATCATCACCGAGGGTCCCGTTACAGTCTTGTACTTTGGGACCTTCGTCTGTATATTTTACTCCCTGTAACATCCTTTTATGACATGATAATAAACTGATTGATTGATTGATTGATACTGTACGAGAAGTACCGAGACTGCAACCACATCTACACCGACGCCTCCGCCGTACCGAACAGCTCAACAGCGGCAGTCATTATTCCAACACACGCAACAACCATCAGATTCAGGACAGCTTATGCAACCACATTAATGGCTGCAGCGCTTGCAGCACTACTCGCTGTGCTGTGTTTCATGAACGACCAAAGCGCACAACGGTGGATGATCTTCCATGAGTGCAAGGCGGCACTGCAGTAACTTCTGTCAAATCTACGCGGCGGTCTGCCCGAACATTTGGTTTTTGAGACGACAGAAATGCTACACCATAGAACAGAGACAGGGCACCACGTTGTATTCCAGTGGTCGTCAAGTCATTGTGAAAGTATTCGTAATGAGTGGGCTGATCAAGCTGCCCGTTCAGTCCATACAGAAGACAACAACCAGTCGATACCTCTCTCAAGGACGCACGCTGCTAGGAAGCTCCGCCTTGCTTGCTCGCCAATGCTCCATGTCGCTTTAGAATGAGCCTCTTTTTACGCGTACAAGATCCTTCAATCCTACATTAAGCTTACGGCATCCAACAAAACCTGGATGAGGTGACGCGAATGTTCTGTGCAAACCATGTTTTGGTGTCGCATTAACCCGTGCGTACGCATTCGGCATAAGAATGGCCGACACCACCGCCTGTGCACACTACGGACATGAAGAGACAATTCGACAGGCACTGTGTGCCTTCCAGGAGTATAACGTAAAAAGACAATACCTTTCTAATACACTCATTAAGTTGGATGACCAGCCGCTGTTAGGAGAAAGTATACTGTGCCATCGTCATGACATCATCAGAAAAGGCCGTGCAAGTGCTACTGGGCTTCTTGTGAACTACTGGCCTGTCGGAACAACTCCGAGTGGATTGATTTTGTGTGTGCGGGTGTGCTCGCGTTTTTTTTTCATTTATTTTTAAAGACGATAGTCTTTCTTGGTGACCTTCCACAGAAAAATTTTTATCTGTCTGTCTGTCTGTCTGTCTGTCTGTCTGTCTGTCTGTCTGTCTGTCTGTCTGTCTGTCTGTCTGTCTGTCTGTCTGTCTGTCTGTCTGTCTGTCTGTCTGTCTGTCTGTCTGTAAATTTACCTCTTTGCCCGTCCTTAACGATAGTTTAAACGGCCTACCCCATCTGCAGCGCTCACCAATATTGCTCAAGGCTCAGCGATCATACTTGTACGATTGTCAATGAAAAAGCAAATATTGCGCATATCTGAGGTAAAATAACAACACGTTGATGTTTTGTATGTTTGCCTTTATACTAGGTAACGCACCCACAAGTAATTCTAACAACCGTAACGTTTATCACGCTGCGCTGACAATGCAACGTGATGCTCAAAAAGGCAAGTCTTACGAACGCTTTGCTAAGACGCCACGGTGGTGGCACCTGTTCATCGCTTGGCGTTCTACACCTTATTGCCTCTGAGAACAGCACGCATCTTTCTTCGCGTGCGCGCACGCCTGTCTTCGTTTTAGAAGATAACTGCCAGATGAAGCTGATGTCTAACGTGGCTCGATGCGCTCGTTCGCCTCCACTGCATGCTCGAGGCACTCTATCGCTTCCAGAATACCATTCACCGATTTTCTTGAACAAAACATCAAATAAACATTTTGTTCACTCTCTCCAGACGCAAGACTATCGTCTTTCGACGACATTTGCAGAGTAACGTGCAGATACGGGGCCAACTTTTCACCTTTTTTTCACTCTTTCAGTCCCTAGTTCCCAACCTCAGTGTAGGCTAGCATAGAGGATACAAGTATGTAGTTTACCTTCCTGCCTTCATTTTTTTTTTCGTTTCTCTCTCTCTCCTCCTTGGGTATCGGCCACTGTGTGGCAGAAAGTGCTTTGAGACGTACGCGACGAGATTGTGACATAACTTGAGCCATGGCCAGCGGGCTGTGTCCATCGCACCATATCACCCGCCCATACTAATTTGGTTTACGCCAAGTTAAGGCGGTGATCACGAAAGCACCAACACGCTGGCGGCTCGATAGATAAATAGATAGATAGATAGATAGATAGATAGATAGATAGATAGATAGATAGATAGATAGAAGTAAAGACAGACAGACAGACAGACAGATAGATAGATAGATAGATAGATAGATAGATAGATAGATAGATAGATAGATAGATAGATAGATAGATAGATGTACAGGATATGCGCTACTCGATATCTACCCTGGCTAATCTCTCTAGTTTCTTCACTTTTGCTACTCTCTCATCCGCGTAAAGCACATAAAAAGGCGTGTTTCTTTTCTTCTTTTCTTACTATACTCTTGTGTTCTGTTAACGGGCAGCTGAATTCGAGGTTGAGCTATACCTATTGTTAAAGCGCGAGTACTAACTACCCAAACCCTCATGCTTCTGAGCCATACCCTTGCGAGAGTTGCAGAAGATCACGCGATTCTTTCTGCGTTGTTCAGAGCCATTACTCAGAGTACGCATAGGCCAATCCGGCGATGCACAGGTTCAGAAAATTGAGTGCGCAGCTCAATTTCCTTAGACGACAGAAGAATACAAATGACTCCTGGAAAATATTTCCGCATCAGTGTTTCTGGTGCGCCATCAGTTTCATAACTCAAGAAAAGAAATTCAATCCAGAAGTATTTCAGCTTTTCTGATTCGCAAACAGCGGAAATACCTGTTTGAATCCTTGGTAGATTCGTTTTATTTCTTCTTTGCTAAACTTCGTGGACTTGCAAAGGACACTGATGGTCTCGGGCTTGCATCGGACCACGGTCATCTCCAAGTCATCGATGGTCTTTTCTGTAAAACAGGAAAATGAAATGATACATCAAATAAGCATACATATTTTTAATTATTTTCATCTTCTTTGAGTTAGTATAATACAATAATTTGAGGTGCCTATTCCCCGGATTGAATCAAGTACCTTGTTTGCTATTGCTGAAGTAGCCATGGTCGGAAGCCGAAGGTTAAACTGACAGTGACGAAAATTGTAAGCCCTACAAAGATACGTTTGTGTTATATGGCGCAAATCCTATTAATTAGATAGTTGATTGTATTTCAATAAGCTTTGAAATAAATTGCGCTATTTGTAAAACTTCAGCACTGAAAAAGCAACAGGACCTGCCAAAGAAATTAAAGCCAAAGCGTGCAAGTAAAAATAACAAATATAATTGACAATCACACCACTGGAATGAGAGCAGTACATTGAAGCAAATATTTATGAGTCTGGCAGCAAAATATATTTTCGTTGTATCTTATTCATAAGAAAAAATACAAATACTAAGCTCATTTCTCGTACACTGCAAGCGAGTATTTAGAAACGTGAAGAACATTGTGCCCTTTAGGCTTGGTAAGCGTTCCGATGGCAATGCGTCGCGTGTGCATTTGCTCTCAATTGCCTGATGGCCATCGGTGAATGTATTCGCTTGACGGCAACACATGGCAGGGGCGTAGTACAAATACTTTCTTTTGTAGGGAGAGCGATCAAAAATGCTTTCTATATGCTTCTGCGTGTGATATATATGTGCGTATAAACATACACAAGCAAGATTGAAAATATTTGGGGGGGACGTTGACCCATCAACCACTCCCATCTCCACCTTTGGTGGACTCGCACTTCGCTGTGCATAAAATTCCCACTCCTACGTTACCAAAAGCGACAATGAAAGCGATGCTCTAGGTCAACCTTTAGGATTTCCTCGGCACCAGTGGAATCTTCTGAAGAATATCCGCGGACTCGTGTGTCACAAGTGCCTGCCCTTTTGATGCGCTCTATCGACTGCCTGCTTGTCATGACAGTTCAGATACGCATCGTCGCCTGTAGTTCTGTCCGACTGTTTTCCGCATCAGACATCGTGCTCACCGAAAAAGCGCAAGGATAGAGAGAGAAATCGTGCGTAAGCCGGTGGCACCCATTCTTGCATAAGTTACCGCAAGTTCCTGAAGTCTTTGAAGAAATTCAAGTTAACTATTGCAACTACTTCTTGATACCTATTATAGACCTTGGTGGTTCATTTTACCCTGGTTTCGAGAATTCGTAGACTTGTGGCATGGACTGAGCGCTTTAGTGTGAGGGTGATTGCTGCACGTGAATAAACGACAATCTAGACACCTAAAAGCATGATTGAGACTTGGAGGGAGGCGTACTAACTTGGAGCATTTTGGCTGTGGCGGCCATAACAATTACCTGACAATTACAACACACCTTGCACAGCATAAGTCTACAACTACTTAAAGTGACGAGCTGCATCATGAACACCATAAAATGTACCTTATGCTGCAGAAGACGCGACCTCGGTTCTTTTTTGACACTTTCGTTAACTTGCTACAATATACCTCAATATCCCTCACATGAATAATACAAGGTGTTTGCCGTCATGGGTGATTTATAACACAGTGAGTGTTAAATTAAACTTTACATACTGGAATGCACGAGTATACAAATACGATTGTCATGAATGACAAGTGAAGTGGAAGAAAGGGCAAGACAAGGGAGAGGCCCCAGAACGAATGGGCGAAAGGCCAAAAGAGAAAGACTGCGAGAAAGAAGCGAAGGAAGATGTGAACGAGAGGAAGCTGTATTGGATGAGCACGCGCAGGGGAGAGGAAGACGGTGGATGATCACATATACCAAGTTTGGTATTACGTGACATGAATTAACAATGATGGTAAATGACATGACCAAACAATATGATCATGAAATGCATGTGATGCAAAACATGACTACAATCTACGCTCATAGCGTGCTCGCGGGCGTTTTGCCAGTTTCATATATACCAAATTTAGTATTGCGTGACGTGAATGGCCGACGAAGCTAAATGATACGTCCGAACATATGATGATATTGATATGCGTGTGTTATAAAATATGAATACATGCTACGTTCATGGTGCGCTCACGACCATTTTGCTAGTTCCATATAACCCAAATTTAGTATTGCCTGACTTGAATTGATGACGGAGGTAAAGAACGCGTCCAAACTTGATAATCGTGATATGCGTGTCATGTAAATCATGACGACATGCTACGCTCATGGCGCACTTGCGGTCGTTTCACTAGTTCCAGATATTCCAAATTTAGTACTACGTGACGTGAATGGATGACGAAGATAAAAGATTCACCCAAACTTGATTTTGATGGTATGCGCGTTATGTAAAATAATAATACAAGCTACGATCACAAGCCAAGTAACGTAGAACGTTGAGTCAACGTGGTTTGAATGTAACAAATGTGAGACAACGTTAGGCGGTAAAAGATAGCATTACATCGACGTTTATTGTATTACGTTGCCATAACACAGTGTTCTTATAGTTGTAGCAACATTCAAAAAATCACGTTATACTCACGTGATGTTTTTATTAAGGCAGCAACATTCAAATTATTACGTTGCCCTAACGTGATGGTGTTAATGTGGCAACAACAATCTAATAATCATATGGCATCAACACTTTATATAGACATCAAACCCATGTTTAACAGCGAACGTAGAGACAACATGGAGAACATAATTGCTGAAACATCCAACAACACACATGGAAGCTTTTTCAACTTCGTGTACTCATTTGAATATTGGCTGACGGTGTCTAGTTAGTATGGTTGAGTAAGCGATAGAAGAAGCATGAACAATACAAACAACAGTCCAACAGTTCTTCGCACACTATTGCTTCTATGAAGCTGATTTCATTATACAATGTGTTTTTATTTAATTATTTGTATGACAATACACGATTGCCGTAGGGTAGGAGACGAAAAACAACATCATGAGTCACTTGACCAGGTCAGTATAACTTCGCGCCATACCTTTTTCCCACAAAGTGACTGCTCTGGCAACAACAAAAAAAAAAACGCAAGAACACAATCACGTGGTGGAGAACGTTGCGTTGCCTTGTTATGTATGTAGCTAGATACACTAAAAACAGTGAATTAATATGTGAGAATGCGATGTGCAAGAGCAAGCCTTTTAGGACACTAAATTTCCAGGGCACAAAAAGCCTTCTGTAGGCAGGCTTCATCTCGACTCGTATGCATGCAGACTTGAAGAAGAAATTATCTGTCTATTTTAGTTATTACTGTGTGGTTGTAAAAATAGCATGGGATCCATTAGTTATGAAGTGAGCAACCAGTTGTGAAATCAAACTGTGCCTGAATTATGATGCACCACCACAATCAAAATTTAAAGAGTGGTTTCCATTGAAACACACACGAAACATATCTACCAAAACGGAACCTCTATGCTTGCATTATGCAAGGCAACAGCCACGACCAACCCTACGATTGGTAAAACCTAGGGTAGTGGAACCAATAGGAACAATGGAGCTAAAAAACTGCAGTTTCACCGAGCCCTTACTTTTTGGGAACAACAAGTGCAATGCAATGATTTGAGCAAAAAATACAAACAGAAAATGTGTGACTGGATATAGTAACACACTAAATTATGGTCGAGAGGGAGATATAGGGTATGAAGAAAGGCAGAGAAGTTAATCAAAAAGCAAGTATCTGCTTTGCTACGCTACACTGGGGAAGGGAGATAGAAAAATTAAGAAAATGAAATGAGCGAGAAAAAGAGAGCGGGAGGAAGCGAAAACACACACACACACGCTAGAATGTCACAAAAATTCAATGAGGTGGCTTGATTGCAGAAACTTTAGGAGGGCGGTCGAAGTTACAGTAATTGTATACACATGCTGAGCTTTCGGACAAAAAGGGGTACCCATTTTGGGTCGAAACTGCCTTGACAACTGTTTTCAGTACTAAAGTACACGGTAGTGTCTGTGACTGATGAAAATGAGATAGAGCAGCTGTTTCGTGTGCTCTGCACTTACAGCTTTGTTGGGGACACGCATCGTCATGAGAGCATTTCGTGTCTTTTTATGAACTGCGTGTAAGTAAACATCGGCCAAAAATTAGGCAACTGTAAAAAAGTGTGTTAATCTGCTACTGCCAAAGCTGTCATTCACGGCCCACACAGCAAAAACCAGGCCTGCAGAACACACTGTCTGCAAGCAAATACAAAATTGCAATTGAACCACGATGAAAGGCCACCCTAATACAAAATGACGATCACTCACAACGCACACAGGAGACATTAACTTAGAGAAAGCACGCCTGCTGAACAAACTGTGTTGTTGGTAAGAAAACCTGAACCATAAATTGCAGTAACGTGAAAGGGTGCAGTAATCTGCACGCAATATTCCTCGCAAAAAATCTGGGAGATGCCAACACGGAGATGCCAAGACTGCGCAACACACTATGCAGCACACTAATAACACCAGACTACTGCAGACCTCTTGTCATTTGTCCAAGGCCTCGCTTCAGCTTCGCTTTCACTGTAAGGCTTATGTCAGCTTGAACAAGGGTACCTACCGATTGTGATTCCCTTGCTCGAGTAGGTCAAGCGAGAAGACACACAACTGAGGCAAAGCTGCTAATGAGATGCCATTCTTCCTTCACATGACTTCATGCAGCTTTCTATGTAGTAGATGTAAAAGTAGCACCACGTTAATGCGGCTGTCTGGACGACTGATACACTTGGTCAACTGCATCTGTTGGTCACAATACAAACGGATGAGGCACATGTTACAGATGTGCTCCTTTCTCCTTAGCGTCCTACCACGCACTTCAGTGCGGGAAGTTCTGGCCTTTACTGGTCCCAGAACAACCCCCCCCCCCTTTTTTTTAAAGAACTCGAAGCTTGAATGGTTGGAGTCTTAACGAAGTCTTATTTCTTCAGTAAACGCAGCTTCGAAGATTTCTTTCTGTAGTAGTTCTATATTCATTCCATTGTTTGCTACAAAGTCTGC